TTCCTTCCTCCCATTCATCCATCTTTTTCTCTATTCTACCCATTTCCTCCCTCCCTCCCATTCATCCATCTTTTTCTCTATTCTACCCATTTCCTTCTTTCCTTCCTCCCATTCATCCATCTTTTTCTCTATTCTACCTATTTCTTTCCTTCCTTCCTTTTCTCCTTTTTCCTTCCCTCTTTGTTCTCCTTTTTTCTTCCTTCCCCTTTCCTTCTTTTTCCTTCCTTGCTCTCTTCCCATCTTCCCATCTTTTTCCTTTGTCTTTCCTCTTTCCCTTTTCTCCTTTCCTGTCCCTTCTTGCACGCTCAAATGCAAAAGTTGTTTTATTTTTAGTTTGTTTTGCTAGCCCCTCCGGCTTCGAAAATGGGGGGGGGGCACCGCGGGCCAGTCCTTTGCTGTTTCCAGACCGGTCCTGTGGGCCAGATCTAAGTACCCCGCAGGTGTGCTCAGATCCGGCCCCCAGGCCTTGAATTTGACACTCCTACCTTAGAAGAAGCAGGACTGGGTATGAACACATGTTGCACCCTGCTGGCAACATCTTCATTTCCCTTCCTCAAGTTACAACCATTCATTTACTGAGCATTGGAAGATACCATAGCATTGAAAAGGGGGACTTAGAACCATTTCTCACACTTATGACCCTTGCAGCATCTCCATGGTTACACAATAAAAATCCAGATGCTCGGCAACCGACTCGTATTTATGACGTCTGCAGTATCCCAGGGGAGTTACGCAATCCCCTTTTGTGACCTTCTAACCAGCAAAGCCCGATTCACTGAACAACCTTGTTTCTACCTTAACCACTGCAGTGATTACAACTAGCAAGAAAAGTTGTAAAATGGGGCCAAATTCACTTATCCACAGAAAGTTGTCAGAAGGTCATAAAAGGGGGATCGCGTGATGCCAGGATGCTGTGACCGACATAAATATGAGTCAGCTGCCAAGCATCCAAATTTTGATTATGTGACCACAGGTTGTTAAGTGTGAAAAATGGTCCTAAGTCCCTTTTTCCAATGCAGTCCTAACCTTGAATGGTCACTAAACAAATAATTATACGTCGAGGACAACTGTATCGCTACAATCATGGCTTAAAGGCACCCATCCTATCAAATTATTTTATGTTCAGGAATGGAGAAGGCAATGGTGGGATTCAACCAGTGTAACAACCGGTTCGGTGAACCGGTCTGAACCGGCTGAATCCCACCCCTGGGAGGAGGCCTTTTGAGCAGCAGCCTCACACCCTGCGGCGTCCATTTTGTGAAAGCGCTCACGGTCGACTGTCAAGCCTGCATCCTGATCGCTGATCCAGCACCTCTTTAGTAGAGTTTTACTCTTTGCTTGTTATTGGGATAGAAAACACGGTGGGCACCTTTTTCAGACAGACAGTTTGAATCCACTCGGCCTTCCGTACGTCAAAGATATCTAGGCTGTTTTCGCTGAATACTGACAAATAAGGGGCATTATAGCCTGAAATGGAAAAGAGCACAGGGTTAATGCCGGTGTGCCAAGTCTGCCCCTCATACTCGGCAGCCACCCACATCCTCCCGCAATCCTGCTGTCATGCCCCTGTCGGAATCTGATTCGGTGGAGGAAGCCAAGCAGCTGACAGGGAGTGGGAGTGTGGCTCCATTGGCTGTGGAGGAAACTGGGGAAGGTCAAAGTCTCGCTGGGCAGAGCAGTGGAGAGGGAGAACAAGGGAGAGGGAGTTCAGAGAAAGACTCAGGCCCACCCCCTCTTCATCCTAGGGCACGTAGGGAGAAATGGAGAAGAGAGCAATGTGGGTTGTGTGGCTTATGGGGGAGGAAAAGGCCCTGATTCCCTTCATTAGCCACACCTGGGAATGAGAGTTTAAAAGAGATGCATGCTGACTGTGGCAGCTGTTGGGAGCAAACATGAATTTATCTGGTATCATCGTGGCTTATCTGTGTTCCTGGCGTCTTCCCAACTCTGTGAGTTTTGCCGTGCTTTCAAGTCTGAAATTCCTGCTCTGTCAAGCCAATTACTTTAAGTTACAATTTGTGTATACCTTGTTTTGGACTGAATTTTCTACAGTTAAAGGCTGTTCCTGGGAGAGCTTTTCTCCAGCCAAAGGTAACCTGGACACTGGGGGCAAAGTTGGAGATAATAAAGGGACTCCTATTTGACTGTGTTACCTTTGCGCCACGCCCCTTTGGGTCATCACACCTGCCGATTATGCTGTGATTGGCTTAATGCTAGTTTACCAAATAAGCCACAATAGGCTGGGCTTTGTAGCCAAGGGGCCACGCCTGCATTTTGCATCGGAGTAGGATTCATATTCTAATAGAGAAGATTCTTAAAGTTGAGCCTAAAGATAAAACCAGAAGCTTTTCTTTGGGGGCAAAAAGACTTGGGAAAAATATTTGGAAGTTTGATATATATACAGTGTATATATATATATAGCCCATAAATATAAAATATTTGGAACTTTGATATATATATCAAAGTTCCAAATATTTTATATTTATGGGCTTGCAAGTTCTTTTGTTGTGGTATCCTGGGTCCTGCGTTGTAATCTCCTGGGTCGTTTGGACCCAGGATACCACAACAGGACCCAGGACCCAGGATACCACAACAAAAGAACTCGCAAGCCCATCACACAACCCATTACCCAAGCAGTTAAAACACGAGAGGCTAATGGGGAAAAAAAATCACCACAAAACAAACGACCCAGGAGATTACAGCACAAGATCCAGGATATCTCCACAACAAAACTCACAAGGCCATCACACAGCCCATTATACCAACATCAGCTCCATCAACCAATCAAGAGGCAGCAGTGTAGCCAACCAGCCCAGCACATCAGCCCCCACCACCAGTATTTATAGCGAGACGGCAGCTCCGATCTCACACAAAGTCAGTGTCTGGATGGGTAGTTGTCGAAGTTTCTCCGCAGCCTTCGGCTTCCCATTGCTCCTTGCAATATTCAAACATTTTTTGCAGGGTCTCCTCGATAGAGTGAAGTTCTTTTCAAAGAAAAAAAAGAAATTCCTCTCCGGGTTGACCTCTATTGCAGATTCTGCTTTATGTGAGCACCGGACTTTTCCCTTTCAACGGATAAGAATGAACTTCTGAAAGCTAGGTACTTCAAAAGGAATTCTTTATTGAAAGGAAGTGGTCTCTTGGCGTAGGAAAGAGACAGCTGGGATGGAAGAACCAAGGGAGTAACCCTCACCCGGGGAAACCGTCAACCCAGGTGGAAAAGGGAGCTGGAGGCCCTTTCTGATCAGGAAGAAGGGGTCGAGGAACCACTGGCAGATGATCGACTGAAACGGTACATAAATCGCCTCATGAGGGAAGCCTTGGAGGGCCTCAATGTGCGGGATGAACCAGGTCTCCAACGAAGGAGAGCGAGTGAACCAGAAATTGAGAGAACCCGAGCCGTCACCCCTGATCCAGCTGAGGATGAACAAGCAATGGGACAAACTGGAGGACCAGCAGCCCTACCAGGTACCCGACCCCTTGCCACTCCAGAGCAGGGCAACCCAGAGACATACAACTGCAGAGAAAGGTCCCGCCCTTGGGGGTAAAATTCGATGGGGAACCCCCAGAAACTGGGATTATTCCTGGCGCAAGTCCTCACCTACATGCAAGAATACGGGCGGAATTTCCCCAGCGAGTCGTCACCCTGGGCCTAGAAGGGGCAGGAGCCAGATGGATGGTGACCCTCCACAACGTTAGCGCCCCAGAACTGAGGAACCTCGATCGATTCATGACAGCCCTACGCCACCGCTTCGAAGACCCCCTCACCGATAGAAAAGCCCGCGACCGCATTAGACTTGTAAAGCAAGGCTGCTGCTCGGTAGCTGAATACACCGAGGAATTTTGTGATCTGGCCGGCCGAGTCGACTGGCCAGAAGATATCCTAGTCTGTTGGTTCAAAGATGGACTCAGCGACAACCTGTACACTGCCTGCTTGGCCCGTGGGGCCCCCAAACCTCCTGCATGAATGAAACTTGTTCTTTGAGGAAACGGCTTGCCTCAGAAGTTCTGTTTGCTCTATGGGTGTGTTACTTGGAACCCTGACAGAGCCCACTGGCATGTACAGAAGGGACGAACCATAGCACCCATCATCCCCAACCAAAGCCCTCCCCCCTCTCCAAATCCGCGACTCACAGCAGCTGAGAGGAGCAGCTGGCCACATCAGCTCCTGGGCCCGGCTCCGGTAGCCGTGCGCGTCCACATAGAGGCCGAATCCGCTGAAGCACAAGATGAACTCGCTCAGGCTGACCTCCACGGCTTTCAGCGCTTCCATCTGGGCCACGGCGGATGCCCGGATATCGTCTGCGTGGGGCAGGCTGACAGGGGACCCTTCATTGAGCAGAGGGTAGAGGGAGAAGCCGGACGGGTAGCCCACGCAGAGGCGGTCACCCAACACATCCAGGCACTGGACGTATCCCAGCGCTTGGATCTCCTTGATACGGCGGTGGGGCGGGTGTGTGGCAGCCATCTGGAAGCACAGGACCTGGCGTTTGCAGGCCACACAGAGCACGGGGGTCGTGCCGCGGCAGATCAGCCCCACGGCCACCGCCTGGCAGCCTTTGGCCTCCAGCACTTTGGTCCCCGGCGCCTCGGGGGTCTCCAGCTCCGCCCACGAGAAGACGCGGAGTCCATGGTTCTTGCCGCAGAGCACAGAGAGCAGCTGAGCTTCGGGGGAGACCAGCAGCAGCTGCACCCGCCGGCAGTCGCCCACCCGCAGCACATCTGGAGGGGAGACAAGCGGTCAGCTGCAGCCACCCCAATGCCGTCTAGGCACAACGGCGGGAAATCAAGAGCAGGGAAATTGTGGTGTGAACCTTAGGAAAGAAATACAGCTAGTCCTTGACTTACCGTCATCCATTTGGTGGGCAAAATTACAATGGCACTGAAAAAAATGCGACAGAGGAGCTTTTTTCCCCACACTTATGACCGTTGCAGCTTTCCCATGGTCAAATGATCAAAATTCAGCCACTTGGCAACTGACTCATATTTATGACGGTTTACAGTGTCCCGGGGGTTACGTGATCGACTTTTAGGACCTTCTGACCAGCAAAGTCAACAGGCAAGTCAGATTCATTAAACAACCCATATTACTAACAGATTAACAGATTTAGAAGGGACCTTGTAGGTCATCTAGTCCAACCCCCTGCCCAAGCAGGGGACCCTACACCATTTCTGACAGATGGCAGTCCAGCCTCTTCTTGGAAGCCTCCAGGGATGGAGCTCCCACAACTTCTGAAGGCAACTTCTCTTCCCCTGGTTGATTGTTTCTCACTGTCAGGAAATTTCTCCTTATTTCCAGGTTGAATCTCTCCTTGATCACTTTCCATCCATTATTCCTTCTTTGGCCTTCAGGTGCTTTGGAGTATAGCTTGACCCTCTCCTCCTCTCTGGGGCAGCCCCTCAAATATTGGAAGACCGCTATCCTGTCTCCCCTGGTCCTTCTCTTCCCTAGACTAGCCAGGCCCAGTTCCTGTAACCGTTCATCGTATGTTTTAGCCTCCAGTCCCCTCATCATCCTGGTTGCTCTTCTCTGCACTTTTTCTAGAGTCTCAACTTTTTTATTGTATGGTAACCAAAACTGGATGCAGTACTCTAGGTGTGGCCTTACTAAGGCTTTATAGAGTGGAATTAGTACTTCCCTTGATCTTGATTGTATCCCTCTGTTAATGCAGTTTAGGATTGCATTGGCTTTTAACTTAACAACTTAACAACTGCAGTTATTCCCTTAACCACTGTGGTAAGAAGGGACGTATAATGGGGCAAAATTCAGTTAACAACTGTCCCGCTTAGCAATAGAAATTTTCAGCTCAATGCTGTAAATCAAGGACAACCTGTATCTTGTTGCTTTAAAAATACGTGAGACCATTTAGCTGGCTTCCCAAATCAACTGAGCTTCTAGCTTTGCACAACACGCCAGTTTCAGACACAAATGCAAATACAGGTAGTCCTTGACTTAGGAGCACAACGGAGGCAAAAAAGAAAAGATACACACACAGAGAAAAAGAGACAGTGACAGAAAGACAGAGAGAAAGAGAAAGAGGGAGAGAAAGAGAAAAAGAGAGAAAAAGAGGAAGAGAGAGAAAGAGAGAGAAAAGAGAGAAAAGAAAGAAAGAGAAAGAGAAAGAGAGAGAAAAGAGAAAGAGAAAAAGAGAAACAGAAAAAGAAAGAGAGAGAGAGAAAGAAAGAGAGAAAAACAGAGAAAGAGAGAACGAGAAAGAGAGAAAAAGAGAAAGAGAAAAGAGAGAAAGAGAAAAAGAAAAAGAAAAAGAGAGAAAGAGGAAGAGAGAAAGAGAGAGAAAAGAAAGAGAGAAGAGAAACAGAAAGAGAGAGAGAGAAGAGAGAGAGAGAAAGAGAAACAGAGAAAGAAAGAGAGAAAGAAAGAGAGAAAAACAGAGAAAGAGAGAGAGAGAACGAGAAAGAGAGAAAGAGAGAAAAAGAAAAAGAGAGAAAGAGAAAGAGAGAGAGAGAGAGAGAAATAGCTGAGATCAGTTGGGACCAACTGGATTGCTCACCATTTGTCCTGAGATTAACAAGGAAAAGTCCGTAATCTGTACCCAGAGTGAGTCGTTCCCGGTCTGCAAAAATAAAAAAACACACAGCATCACAATTAGTGTAGTCCAGGGGTGGCTGTGGTACTGCACTGGGGCCAGTTTGTAACCAGACCACACAAGTGGCAGGTGAGCATGGGAAGCTCCGTTTACATGTGTGCCACACGCTCATGTTTGGGTGGG